ACACACACACACACACACAGACACACATTATATATATATAAGGTATATATATATATATATCATATATATATATATATATTATATATTTAGATACTGTTTATGTTCTTCTAATATATGAATTTTAGTCATGAGCACGGGTGATGTGTACGCCATAGTGCACGATTGCGTGTTTAGTATATCAGTTTCCTGTGCGGAGAATTGCCCACTTCACTTTGCTCAAACTTTCGAAAGATTTAAAATCCGAGGAATAAATGGGAAATAGGCTTTATTGTTGTACGCACCGACACGCTTCTTCTTGGGTATATGCGCGTAGCCGTATATCTCTACATGCATTCTTGATTGTACATGAGAATATGTATAGCAAGGGTACTGGGATGTGCACGTGTTTCACATCGGAGGAGTCACAAGCATGGTAGAGAGTACCCTGACATTTGCAATGTATATTCATCTCAGGAGGACTACGAAATGGAGACCGAGTTTGTCGAAGGAGACTATGAAGACGATGATGATGATGTTGAAGACTTCTATGGAGCGGGTATGTGCTACTACCATACTGATATGAATACAGAGATTCATCACTGCCATACATGCATATACAAATACATGCATGTGTCTTGTATAGCGCTATATACATCTACAGACATCATTTATGATAACATATAGAGCTAGCTGTATCTGCGTGTACATATGTGTGCCTTTTATCTCGCACTTAAAACAATCAAGTAGTCGATTTCCATGATCGTATATAGTATGCACGCACCAAATCGACCGACCCAAGTGCCTGCGCCTTGTTTTGGATGAGGTAGAAACATGCTCTTACTTACTCCTAGTTCGTTTAAAGGTCCAAGTTTCGGGTGGGTCTCTTTTATACACTCCGCTACGTTGTAGTCGAGTCATTCGCGTTGTATCATGTGTATGTACAGGACACCCCTGCGGTATCCATTCCGATGGCGCATCCGCTCATCACTTCGCACATCCCAGTCAATGGGAAGGACAATCACTATTCCACCCAATAGTGACAGAAAAGACGTTGATCTGTGCTAATCTTATCTCAAACTTACTACCTACCATGTCCAGGAGATTCCGATGATGACTCATCGGACGACTCCTCAGACGGCGATGGCAGTGGCGGTAGCAAACGCGTAGAGATGGAATACGAAGACGAGACTGATATTGTGAAGGACGGTGGTTTGGAGATTGGCGGAAGAGGTGTAGGGGATGATTGGTAGGATAGAACTGCTAGAGAGGCTGTAGTGGTAGATGAGCACCGTCTGCAACATTCGGAATAGTTGTTACGACATTGGCGATCTGATAACGGCAGAGGGATAGTAGATGTGCGAATATGAGCGGCTTCGGAGTCTCTGGGTGGCCAAGGGGATGGGGTAAAGTGTGGTTGTATGTGTGACTGTGCATATACATCGATCATTTACCGATCATTTACTATTACAGTCTGAGTATCGATGTATATAGCAAACACATAATTAAATAGTAGTACTCGTGATATACATTCTCCGCGTGGTTTCGTATGTGTCGGGATGTGATGATTGGTCCGTGAAACACGTGCTGTCCGCAATCAGCGCAAAGCCGAGTAATACACCGTTACGATTTTCGCAAACATAGTGTACAGCATTTATTGAGGGTATTTGTGGACAAGAAAAATTGGTAGCAAATATCTAAGGAAACTTGATTCTATCCAATGCTTGCAGTTTAGTATGCATTCCAAGCAATCAAAGACATTTTTCATTTGCCATATTGGGTTACTCATGTACAGCCGTGTTGAATCGCTGGAAGCTGACAGTACATACCATGAGTCACAACAGCATACCCATGAGTATTTTGACAGAAATCATATCCGTATTTAATATCGAATTCCCTGATGTCATAAAAACTTGATTCTGTTGATCACTTTTGTTTGGAATTGTCATTGCGATATTGAATGAGAGCGTACTCTCTGCCTCTCAGTCTCAAGTTTCAAATTTTCATGTACATGCGACCCGAGGGAGATTTGCACATACTAGATGGGCATTAATCTACTTGTAGCATTCGTACTATCGCAGTCCAAATCTAATAGGACGATTGTGGTCTGAGTTGGGCCGTCTTGATTCTATGCAATCGAGTTCGGACTTGTCGAAATTTGACTGGTTCTGGCACTCCCCAGTATCACGTCGGTAGTGGCAGTTACACTTGCCACAACATGGATGTTTTTGTCACCACAAACCCACGCTTGACCCACAACACGGGGAGTTCGTGTTGTCCATGCCTCACTGTTGATGCTAATGACTCTGGTTCGCCAGAAGATCGTGGAGTTCTGCAATACTCATCAAGAAACGACGTGCATTCGTGGCCTTGAAAGCTCCACTTGTTTGCCGCTGCTTGCACGTCGCTACGCCAGAGAACAAACTTTGTATGGCCGTCATACACAGCTCATGGAGCCTGTGCTTCCACCGCTGTATCATTTTTCTTTGAGCCAACCATGTGCGTTTCGAATGGTCCGTTCGTTCATTGTTTCTACTTAGTCATGAGACACGTGCATACGTCTTAGCACTCATACTCCGTATCGCTCACGCAAGCAAGCTGTATAGCGCCGCAAGTGTGACCATCGTCGCATACTCTTTGATCTGCATCGAAGATCTTCGCCTGATCACAATCCGCTCATGCTCAAGTTTCCGCACAGCCTCCGGTAACTCATACATATTAATGGGCATGCTTACTGAACACATCCCAACATCCAACGCATCCTCAATCTGCTCTTCCGACTTATCTGGGCACTTTCTGCCAGCAATTTGCGAGTCATCCTTCTGCTCACTAGCATTCGTCGTCAGCATTGTGACACTATCTTGAACACCGATAGCATCCTCTTGTGTATTGCGTTGTTCTATGTCATCTTTACCATGCCGGATAGCACTGCACTGTTCCAATGCTTCAGCACGAGTAGTCAAATCAACTCCCCTGGCATTCATGCGCGCCATATCGTTCATGCCAGTATAGGCGGGAAATTCGACATAGTGTTGTATGTGTTTATGTGGAGTGTATTCAGAGACTGGGATATGATCTATCATGGCTGGCGGTATTGCTCTCCGTTATATGGGTCCAATGTTGTGTTTAATATGAAACACGCACTATAGTACTTCTTGCACATACGGTCGGGTTGTGAGGCTGAAAAATAATAATTCGTCGAATAAGGCCACAATCATAGACTCTTTAATGCCTTCAAGGTATCCTTATCACTTATTTAATATTGATTCAAGATCAAGATTTTTGACGCCAATACGAACAGCTGGTCCGCCGGTTGAATCAGCGAATGGTCGACGAATGAATTACAAATTTGAATTTGGAGCTCCACGACGGATCATGATTGATTTTGCTTTATTGCAGTTGTTGGATACTTTGATTGGTTCAAAAACTAAATCGCTAAAATTCATATTTTTATATACAGCCAATTCAAACTACCAATTTTCGGGATTTTTTACTAGCACATACACAGTGTATAACTGCAGGGGTTTTTTTAGTTAAAACCAGGACCAGTTTAAAAACAAACAAACTAAAGTCTACTCTGTATGAAAGCCGTTGTGTTTTGATTAGCTTCTATAAACAAAATCAATTTTCTGATCCTTTGAATTTGTTTTCTGTTTATTTTAAAATTATACTCTTTCAGAGTTTCTTTACTCTCGGTCCGTCGGAGAAGACTCGGAACTTCGGAAGTCGGAGGTCGGAAGTCGGACACTCGTGACTCGGCCATGAATCTCATGATGATAATATTGTTAACATAAATACTTCGTTCTTAGGAAGTGCTGGTGAAGATAAAACTACAAAAAAAACAAACTCGTGTTATCCAAACCAAAATTTTTAAAAAATATTATATTTTCGCGCACTGATGGAAAAGGGACTGGTAATTTAGTATAATTTATATATATATATATTTCTTTTTGTATTTTATTCCGTATGTATCCTTTCGTTTTTGTTAAAATAAATAAAAATCAAATTGCTTTCTAAAAAACACACTTTTTTTTAACTACCAGATCAGACAGAAGTCCTGAACTTTTTAAATCACAGGCGGCCATATGA